TCTCTGTCCTGCTGACGGATGTAGAAATGCCTCCTGGACATCCGTCTGTGGCGGGATTGAGGAACCTCCTGGGAAAGCCTTCCTTATCTGACACACATTGGGAAGTCTTAGCTCAGGACAACAAGCTCAGCTCAGGAGCAAAGCTTTAGCCTCTAGAGGAGAAGGGTAATTCTAAGTAGAGCAGTGCCGAACCCCCTCCCCACTACCAAGAACTCAGGTCTATATGCTATAAAGAGGTAGGGTGTCTACTATAGCACAGACTGAAAAGACCGTCACTGAACTGTTTCCTTTCCTTCTTGGGCTCATACCTTCCTGGCATACATACTCTCTGTCTGATTTCTGGCCAAATAAATGTGGGCAGAAGTCACATATACCACCTCCAGGCCTGGCACATGAAACTTCCTGCATGATTGGGGGTGCAGATAATCCAGTGGAGGAATCCAAGGCCCTAAGGATGAAGAATGAAGCCCCAGATAGAAGCCCTGAATAAATGGGAGGAATAGAACCCCATTGCTGCCTATCCCCGTTCTCACCTTGATGGTGACATGAGCCCGAATGAACTCTTATCCTCTAAAACCATACAAATTGTGAGGTTGTTCGTTAACAGCAATAACCTTGCCCTGACTGACTTGCTAACTAAAAATGGAAATCTCTGTTTAATGAAAATACTGCATCTGACCTTGAAGAATGGGCAGCATAGCGTTAGTATTTTTCTAATAAACAGTAACATAAAAAAAGAAGAGAGCCAGTCTTCCCTAGTTGCCACTGCATCAAACAGCTTTGCCATGTTAACAGCATTAAAATAGGAAGTGGCGTTAACTGATGGGAGACAGAGGAAGAAGGAGCAGTTTTCAAAGGAAGTAGAAATGGCCAGGAGGCCTGGAGGTCTCAGTAGTACCAAGAGAGAGGGGTTGTAGCTGCTGGTGGACACAGCAGTACGGGTTCCCAGGGGAAGCGGTGAATGCGAATGCGAGGGTCACAGCCAGCAGAAGTGGTGACAGCATCCAGGGAATGTTAAGGATTAGATGACCAGATAGGATCATGAACCCATGTAGGACGCTTCGAGATTTTGAGCAAAACTTGGGAAAGCATGATGGTAATAAGAAGCAGCAAGTATGGGTCCCCTCTACCAAGTATTAGAACCTTGGAAGGTTGGGAAGGAACTCTCCCAATGCAGATCATGTAGGAAGAAGAGAAGGGGCCCTTCTGGCTTTAGTTAATGAGTCCCAGAAATAGAATTTCTTCTCCACGTAGCAGGCACAACACTCACGCAGGTTAGGCTGTCCGCAGGCGTCCCTCCCCGGCCACCCCTTATTTCACTTCTCCGGGAGGTAAGCCAAGTTGGGCAGTCAGGAAACCCAGGATGTTTGCATTTTCCACAGTGACCTCAATGGGTGTTTGGGCACTGAAGGCACATTCCTGCAGGTAACGAGAGAGGAACTTGCAGGTTTCCTCTTTGTAAAAGGCCAGGATCTTGATTCATTTGGTGGCTGCTCTGAGGTTTTTTTCCTTCATTTGGAAGCAAAGCACGTTGAAATTGAGAAACAATGTTCTAAGCTGGGGGTCCTCTGTTAAGATGAAAAAAAAAAAAAAGTGGAGGATGGAAGAGATTTCTGGAAGGGCCATGGAAAACAAAGAGGGGGGACCGCTCAGGGGGCTGAGAAGGAGTCTTCAGCTATCTGCTTCCCCCTGAACATCATTTGGGCAAAGCTGGGGTGATTATAGGGAGATCGTAAATGCCACACAGATTAGGCATGGAAAGCTGAGGGGCCGGAGAGGACACAGCTCTGGGATATGTGTACATTCACCCGCGTTTATGTGCTCACAGGTAATTATGTACACACGTTGGTGCTTTTGGTGACTATGCCCTTTGAAGCAGAATTTTAATCACACTTTAAGCTGTACACTTTTACTTCCGTCACATAAGAAGCATATACCCTTTTACTATGAAAAGTGGATAGATTATCTCTTTCCTTTCTGTGTGCCCTGGCTGTTCCAGCCCACCTGCTTTCTCCTAGAAACTCAAGTTCCTGTTCTTCTGCAGCTAACACTGACATATCCTGCATCCTGCTCACTTTATTTATTTATTTATTTATTTATTTATTTATTTATTTATTTATGTTTTTACGTTTATTTATTTTTGAGACAGAGAGAGACAGAGCATGAACAGGGGAGGGGCAGAGAGAGAGGGAGACACAGAATCCGAAACAGGCTCCAGGCTCTGAGCTGCCAGCACAGAGCCTGACGCGGGGCTCGAACTCGCGGACCGTGAGATCATGACCTGAGCCGAAGTCGGACGCTCAACCGACTGAGCCACCCAGGCGCCCCGCATCCTGCTCACTTTAAAGTTATTTTCCTCAGTCTCCATATCTCAAGAATGTGTTCTAATTAGCTAATCTGGTATCAGGCAAGCCACTACTGGCTTACTGTGATCTGTAGTGCTGTTGGTCCAGGATGACCTACATAGATGTAAAATATGATTTTTAATCATACCTCCAGAGATATGGCAAAGAGTAAACATTTGGGGTATTGTAGAACTCTGAAAGAATAAATGGATAAATTACCAATCCGTTATTATTAAATTTATGTTATTAAATTATTAAGTTGTCAAAAATTAATCACTTATTAATAAAAAGAAGCACTGACACTTACATGACAGGTACTAGGCGCCAGGCACTCTTCTAAGTGCTTTGCATGTATCCATTTAATTCTCAGGACAACTCTGTGGGATTGGAACTATTTCATTTTGCAGATGAGGACATTGAGGCAGAGAGAGATTAAGCAAGAAGCCCTAGATCTGGCAGCTAGGAAATGGTGGAGTCGGGATTCAAACTCAGTGGCCTGTCCCCAGACTCTGTGCCCTGTCAGAGTCCATGACATGTTTTTGAGTGGAAAAGGGTGATGGGATGTGAATTACACCCACAGGATACCCACTGACAGTTTCTCATGGGAATGAGGCAGAGTCCAAGAGAGAGGTATCTTAGAGCTTTTGTTTGACACTAAGAAGTCACATCATCTTTCTAGATCTTAGTTTTCTCTTCAGAGAAACAAGGAGGGTGGACTAGGTGACCTCTAAGACCCGTCCCAAGTCTAAGATAAATAACATCTTGAGCAATCCTGCGCTAAAATGCTGATCTCTTGGTGCCTGTAGGGAAGACGCAGGTCAGTTCCTGCTTCCTACACCCTTCAAGCCAGAAGCTGCAGGGTAGAGTGTCCAGTAGATACCTGGGAAGAACTGGAAACACCAGACGAAGGTTAGAGGCCTAAGAAACCTCACCCTTTACCTAAGAAACATAAAGAAACACATTTACTGAGCGCTTACTGTGTGCCCTGTGTCTTAAACAGATTATCTAATTCTCACAATAAGCCTGTGAATTAGGTAGGGTCTCCATTTAAAAAACGAAGCTGAAGCTTAGTCATGCCAAGTGACTTGACCAAGATGGCCCAGCTGGCAAGGTATGCAGGTAGGATTCAAATCCCGTCTAACTCCAAAGCCCAGGCTCATTTCACAACCAGTTCCTGCTTTAATACCTGCTATCTCATTCCATTCTCACTGCAAGCCTCCGGGGTAGTTATTATTTCCCCATTTCACTGAGCAGGAAAGTGAGACTCGGAGCAGTGAAGTGACTTGCCGGGAAAAGGATCTGGCTCCGAGTGGGCGGGAGGAGAGCGGGCAGAAGCGTGTACGTGGACTCCGGTGCCGCAACCCCGCGCCTCCCCTGGGCTCCGCTCTGCCTCGCGGCTCCCACCTTCCCCGGTCCCAGTCCCGCGCACGGCCCGCTGCGAACTACACTTCCCGGCAGGACGCGGGCGCGCGCACGCGCACCGGGGCCTCCGCCATGGCGACTGTGCTGTCCAGGGCGCTCAAGCTCCCGGGTAAGGAGTCGCAGCCTCGCGACCACCCTGCTCCCGCGGGCCCTGGGGAGACTGGGAGGCGAGGCGCTGGAGGCGAAGCCGGTTGGGGCCTGGTCCCAGCCCCAGCGTAGATGCAGGCGCGCGGAGGCGAGCCGGTGCAGCCCCCACGGGCTGGGGGTCTGTCACCGCCAGGGGGCGAGAGGGGCGCCAGGCTGGTCGGGGGTCGCGGGCGCGGGGCGAGCTTGGGAGACTCAAGGGAGGGAGCGCTGGAGGCGCGCGGGGCTGGTGGCCTGGAGCAGGCGGGCGTTGCTTCGAGGGCGGCAGTCAGAGCGCGCGTCGCCGCCATCCCAAAGGGAGGGCTGGTGAGGGGAGCATCCTTTCCTGAGCGCCGCGGACCACATACCGCAGGGTCCCCAGCTCTTTCTGTCTTGGGCTGGCCCTGCGGGCGAGGGGGGACAGGAGCTGCAGGACAGCGGGCCACCCTCTGGAGCAGCCTCTCCACTTAATGACACCACTGACGCAGCCATAAGGTAAGCGGGACAGGTGTTTACCCCTTCTGGTTTACAGAAGAGGAAAATGAGAGTTATTTGGCTAATTGACTTGTCCCAAGGTCGCAAAAACGGTATTGGAAACGCCTGGACTAGAACCTCTGGGGTCTCTTGATTCTAGATCCTGGGGTTTGATTCCTATTGATCAGCCTCTGGCTCTCAAGGCTAAGTATTGAGGAGGGGAAGGATTTGGCCCCTGAAAGTTGCAGATAAATTGTGGAATGTTCTTTAAAGGAGGCACACTGGTAGTGTCGACAACTTCTAGAGCTAATTCAGTACTTTGGGCAGCAGCTTCAAGTTTTTAAAAATTTTTCGCTTAAACCTCCAGAATGGGACTGTGCCGCTACAAGCTTGCTTTTTTAAATAAAAGTATATTTGTCCTGCCCAAATAAATTTTAAACATTAAGTTGCAAACATGTATTTGCTGATACGGTGATAGTGGGAAAAGCAGGGTTAGTAGGAAAAGCAGTTGCTTTCACTGGCATCAGAAGAAAGGGCTAGTTTGGTGTCTGGTGGATAATCCAGCATACGGCATCACAGGGTGTATCACAGGGACTTTATTCTAAAGGAGCTTCCAGCCTGCTGCCACATTGTGCCATGGATGACACGGGGTTGGGTATGAATTTGCATTTCTGTCCCCAGACTTCATGACCTGAGACATTTTCCCCCCGACATGGGCTCATTAGAACATTGGAAGGAACATTGATAATATCTGTCTTGGAATGTGTATGTAACATTGGAATGAAGTGGGGGATGGATGTGTGCCTTTACCTGCAGGATTAGTTT